ATTAAGTACTTGATAGTGAAGCATAAAGGTCACAGTGGYCTATGTATTATCTGAATGACAAAGCCATGAATGAACTATTTAGTGCAATGTGCTGAACCGTGTTTTCTTAATGGAAGGGTTTTATACATATTCTGAAATTAGTACTGAACATATTAGGATATTGGAAGTGTTTAGTTTATCTACCCTCCCCAGAAATCAATCAAAACTAGTCTCAGGAGACCTGATGATATCTCTAAAGATATTACAACTWCTATTATATATTTCTTGCACCTACATAGTCTAAATAGTCTGTCAATATGAGAGTGCCCAAGAAATAAGATATTCTTACAAAATATCTTTTTTCAAATTTGGGTTGAAATTTATAATTTTGTCTTAATACTAGTGAGTCAGTACCCAATTCACAAATTACACCTGATTTTGAAAGGAGACATAACGGCTACGTACTACTCACAAAAAAGCTTTATTTAATGTTTAAGATGTCTAAGGTGACATCCTTTATTGTGCATTTATGGTTAGCTGCCTAATTATCTTCCATAATATTGGCTTTATTTCCTGCCTACATTTTCCACACATGAGGTATAATGAGGTAATTCCTAATGCAAAATCAGTCCTTCACCTACCTTAACTGTTTCATAAAGTGATATTGTGAATTGCCCTTCATTTAAACATATATATGTGATTTAAAAGAAAAACCCTCTGTGTCTAAATATCTGGTGTAAGGCCCAGTTAATACCCTCCCTCCCAAAAAAAGACATATAAATTATTTCTCGTTTTCTAATAATGAGATTACTAAGCATTACTACTAATAATACAAGAATTGKGACTGGCTTTTTAAAAGAATGAGTCAGATAAATTCTGAGATTTCCAGAACTGTATTTTTTCTGTCTTTATATTTCTGTTGCCTGCCTACTGCTAGCTTTGGAATAAGGGAAGACTCTGGCTCTTGAACCATTAATTCTGTATATATAGAATTCTGTATATATAGAATATATATAAATATATATATAAATATATACAAATCAAAAAAGATGCACAATACTGCCTTATCTAAATGCCCCTACTCAAAACCTTCCTTTCTACCCAAAACCTTCACGTGAACGTTTGCTTCTTCATTTGAATTTCTCATTCAACTTGTAGAGTTGGGTAGAAATGATATAGAAACTTGATAGAAGTTGCTTATGGAAGGGACAGAAAAAGGGAGTCCTGAAGGGCTGCTAACTTAGAAGAACTTGGTAAACTGAACCCTGCACAAAAATGGGTGTTACAGGATTTGCTGTCAGCGTCTGTGACCTCAAGAGTTGTTTCCATCTCAAATGATTATGGGCCAAACAATGTGGCATTTTACTGAGGGATTTTCACTGACAGTTTCATTTGATTGAGGAGCCCAAAACCTGATCCTGTTTTATTAATTTCCGTTTATCATGATCTGATTTATTACTTTTGTCTCCTAAAAATAAGGACTTGGTATCATTGATATTTCACGGAATTTGATTAGTTGGAAAGATGACATTTTGTATCATATAAAARGGGAAAAAACTCCTGAAATTTTGTGCGAAGAACTGTCAATCATGAAATCAAAGCATATACAAGGCATCATTTATAGCTRCATCAAAAATTTAAGAAAGATGGTATAAAGGAAGAGATATTGCTTGTATGTGCATTCTACTGAAATGTTTACCTGTTTATTTACCATTAGCTTTTCTGGTCTTTAGGGAAAAATTAGTACAGTGCTTGAGTATGTGTCTGGATTTGTAGCCAGAGGCTTTGAGGAGCTGATCACTGTACACTTCATTCACCAACCAGCAGTATAGTCCTAAAAAGAAATTTTAACTTTTTTCATAGTGTTCAGAGTTTGACAACCAAGAGGTGGCTCATGATTGTCCAAGTGCATGCAAACTGTCTTTTTATCTCTGCATACACCAATTCTTTAAGATTGCCTTCTTTATTGAAAGTCACTGGGGAATGAATGGGATTCTATGAATATGAATATGCTATGGATAGGAAATACTAGTTTCTTCTTTCACCTTGTAACTGGGGGCAAGAAGAAATAGTAATGATAGGAAGAAATATCTTTATGAGTCCTGAAATGTCTTATATTTTCAGGAGTCCAAGGTTTTATAACAAACAAACACAGACTCCAAAACACATTCAGAAATGCTGAAGTCATAGTGAACAAAGCCAATGCCAAGACTGAGCTGTTGTGCAGTCTTTTGTGGCTTTTGAACAGCCCTAGTAATACTGRGACTCTAAGACTCACCCCTCTGTTGCTTTTGCACCTAGACCTTCTTGCTTGTACCAAGGTGCCTGTCAAACCTGGCTCCATGCTGGCTGGTTGGCAAAATCGTGACAACATTGAAGAGCTGCTGCACTGAGGAAGAGGAGATTCACTCTTCCTCTGAGCAATAGCTCTTGGCTCAGCAGTGCAGCCCAAGGAGGGACYGCCCTTGCAAGGCAGGACCTTCCAGTCAGGCCCACAGCAATGATTGTAAGGTGAGGTTTTTGGTCACTCCTACTCCTGTTTTTGCTTTCATTACTAACGGGAAATTGAAATGACTTGACCAGCATGAACAGCCTAGTTCTGCTATGGCCAGTTTTCACTCCCTTCCAACCTTTCAAAGTCAAAATCCTATCTAACCACAACCTCACAATCATCTCAGTCTATAGGAATTATTATTTCAGCATTTCTCATAGCAAGGGCACACAAATTTCTACAGTGCTGAGCTACAAACATACCTGCCTGCTCATGGCAATGCCTAACTTGTCTGCTCCTTTGGAGCTGACAGCACAAAATTATGGTGTGGGGAAGAGCACTTACTAAACCTGCTGTCTGAGAAGGCTACTGGTAGTTTATAGACTTATTTTGCTATGACTCTTCCTTGTTCTCCTTTTCCCATCAATTGAAATTTCATTCTCCCTCCTTTCAGCAGACCAAGGCTTTCCTCTGGATATGCTCTACTGTCTGTGTTTTTCTTCCTTATTGTAACTCTATTTTTCCAAGTACGCTGAAATAACTTGACCATTGCTGGGTTTATCCTCTTTAAGGAAGTATGATCTTAACAGTATTGAATTCACCAAGCCATCAGCTCCAGTGTTCAACACCTAACTTATAGCAGCTGGGGGATTATATACACAGAGATATAAAATATCCTAGCATTTGTAAATAAAATGGATTCTTGGAGTACAGATWGCATGTAATGTTGAAAGTCTGCCTTCTGCAACAGACTTTGGTTCAGTTACCATTCTCTTCATTATTTTCCTGTTCCTTCAGTAATTATTGTCTTTTGTAGAAGGAAGCATGCCTTCAGAAATGAAAATGTTAGCAGAAATTTGTCTTGGTCTGCTTGAAAATAGCCATTTAACTTCTGCCCAAACTAGAGAGTTGTGAAGTAGCAGCAACCTTGCTTCAACAGGGAGATATGTGAAAAAATCCTGCTAGGGAAAAGGTTCAGCATAAGATCATAGTTAGAAATCTCCATGTCAATTTACTTCTGGAAGAGGAAACTTAAAGTCAACTAACTTTAATGGCCAATATTTTTTTTTTTTTGATTTTTTGGGGGATTTTATTTTGGTCTTAAAAGAGTTACTGGGAATTTATAATCACAATCAGTTGAAATTGAATTTCTTTCTACTCTGTTATAGAACTGTTTGCTTTTGCAAAATAAATTCCAAATATGTCATTTTCAGGAAGATTTCACGGTGCTTTTAGTTGTCCCTGTGTGTGATGGGAGGTACTGCCGAGGGACCAGAGTGGCCTGTGCCGTCGGGGCTGCAGCTGGTTTTATTCCCAGTGCTACTAGCAGGGAGGTTGGCAAAACTTGCAGCATCCCTGCCTCCCCGAGGTGGGAGCAGTGCAAATCACGGCTGCGCTGGAGTAACGGATTTTAACAAGTTCTCCCTCCTCCTTAGCGCCGAGGGGTCGGCGCCGCGAGGGGCGCTGGCGGCGGCGCTGCCGGGCCGCGGTCACGGCGCCGCGGGACCCGCGCGTCCTCCGCGCCCCGCCGCTCGCTGCGGGGCGAGGCTGAGCCCAGGGGCGGCCGGTCCCGGCGGAGGGCGGGGAGGGAAGGTGGGAGGCGGGCGAGGAGGCGGCGGCGGCATCGCGGGAGGCGGCGGCGGGAGCACCGCGCTGCGCCTCTCCGCCCAGCCGAGGTGAGCGGGGCCGGGGCGCGGGGCGGGCCGGGGCGGCCCGTGGGGCGCCCCCGCGGCGGTGCCAGCGCGCGGGCCCGCGGCGCCCGCCCCGCCTCCGCCCGCGCGCACTTAAGGGCCGGCGGCGGCGGCGGTGCGGGGCGCGCGGCTCTCGGCGCGGGCGCGTGCGGGGCGCTGCGCTGCGCGGAGGTAGGAGCCGCCGTGCCCCGGCCCGGCTTCCCGCCGCGTCCCGAGCCCGGCCCCGGCGGTGATAAACGCGGAGCCGCCGGGTTTGGAAGTGTGAGCGTCAGCGGAGGCGGCGGCGGGGCTCGTGCCCCACGGCGGGCGCGCGCGCGCGGGGTGTCCCAGGGAGGTGTCGGCGCTGCCTGGAACATAAACGAGCAGCGGCGAGGGGAGAGAAGCGAAATGCCGCGCTCAGCTCGAAGCTGCCCATTCGGAGCTCTGTTTATCTCGCTGTGGTTGGGTTGATGAATAGTTCTGTAGTAGGAGTAGGTTGCAAAAACCTTTGCTCGTGTTTGCAGTTTGACCACCAGCATGTCCTTGTGGTTGCTCTGATTCATGTATATTTAATGAACGTGTACATTATATATGCATTACATACATTTTATACTTTATTTACCTTTCATACATTGACAGCATAAACATACAGTGCATTTTGTCTATGCTCTCTAATGCACGTGGATAATTGTTTTACCCTGTGCCCGATGCGCTAAAAYGTGGTGCTGTATCATATCACTGAGAACATGGGGAAATTAGATTTGTACCACAGACTAATATTGTGGAATTTGTGCTTCAAATGTCACTGGAACAATGGCATGCTTTTTACAATGTGTGTTTATTTGTTTTTAATATTACAGATGCCTCTTGATTGCAAGACTGCTGAAATGTTTTGAGCACCGCCTCTCCTTTCCTAACCATGAACAGTTCAAAATCACCAGGACTGGCTGGATTTGGAATCTTAAAAAACACAACCTGCCACACAGAGAAGAAGATTTCAGTTTTCTTTTCAATAATCTTCATGACGGTGGGAATATTGTCCAACAGTCTTGCAATAGCAATTCTTATGAAGGCGTATCAGAGATTTAGACAGAAATCAAAAGCCTCCTTTTTGCTCCTTGCTAGTGGTTTGGTCATCACTGATCTCTTTGGCCACCTCATCAACGGAGCCATCGCAGTCTTCGTGTATGCATCTGATAAAGACTGGATTCGCTTTAACCAGTCCAACATCCTTTGCAGTGTTTTTGGCATCTGCATGGTGTTCTTTGGTTTGTGCCCGCTCTTCCTGGGCAGTGTGATGGCTGTTGAACGTTGCATTGGAGTCACAAAGCCAATCTTTCACTCTACAAAAATGACTTCTAAACATGTGAAAATGATGTTGACTATGGTATGTCTGTTTGCTGTTCTTATAGCTTTGCTGCCTATTCTTAGGTTTAGAGCCTATCAAATTCAAGCATCGAGGACCTGGTGCTTCTATAAAACAGAACATGTTGAGGACTGGGAAGACAGATTTTATCTCTTACTTTTTTCTTGCCTTGGGTTACTGGCCCTTGCTATATCATTCTTGTGCAATGCTGTCACAGGAATTACCCTCTTAAAAGTCAAAYTTAAAAGTCAACAAAGACAAGGCAGATCTCATCATTTTGAAATGATCATTCAGCTCTTGGCTATAATGTGTGTTTCTTGCATTTGCTGGAGTCCATTCCTGGTAAGAGCCTAACGTGTTTGCCAATTTTTAATGCACATCGCTGTCTAAAACTTACCCTTTTTTATCCCCAGGTTTTAAGGCGCTCTAGTCGTTCACATTTCAATGCGTTAGTTCTACAGCATGTTGCCCATGATATATGTACCTGTGAGTCTGCAACAAAAACAGTAATTTTATTCTTCACTTCTAATCATAAGTGAAACAGGTTGAGTTAGCAAAATGTACAATGAAGGGTTTATTTCCAGTGAAGCAGGCGGTGGGGAGGCACAGGGGGGCTAGAATAAACTAGAGCAATTGCTGAGCTTACCCAAGAAATTCAGTGAAAACAAGAGGTGACTTATCTGCTTGGTTTGTACTGAGGTTTGTAATGTTCTTTACTGATCATAGTGTGTTCATTGTGATTTACTGCTCCTTGCAAACTATGCTACAGAAGATTGCAATTAWGAAACTAAAATTCCTCCTCTCTGTTTACGGCTTCTTCAGGTCTTTGCTTTAGAGTTGTGTTAAAAAATAGTTGCTGACCAGGGGTTAATATAAAAATTTGCTTAGGTCTGAACAAGCTGGGTTTGTAGTCTGGACAGATCCCTCACAGAGATTTCTCTGCGTACTTGGTGCTTTCTTGGCTGTCCCAGATGTGACTTAGGGCTGCTCACTAGCACTGGCTGTTGTGATTCTTTCAAAGCTGTGAGTGTTGGTCAGATTAGTGTGTTCTCTCCCAGGACGCTGTGTCAAAAGAAACAGGATTATGATATGGAAAAAAAAAATGTGGGATAATGTCTGATGACATTAGAAACCTAATATTAATTTTGTCTGTCTAGTGTAGTAAATCTGACTGAAGCAGTTTTAATTTTGTCTAGGGTGAGAGTTTAAGTCACAAATAATATTAAATCTTAATTTGTTTCCTAGAAACAAGGTCCCATAGTTTTCCACTGACGTGAATGAGGAGCAATTTTGGTTTTAGCTATAGGGTTCATAAAAATAGAAAATTAAGTCTGAGATCGGAATCAGATCCAGTTATATCTCATCTGCTCACTGGCTATGCTATAATATCTCCAATCTTATAATATCTCCATCTTCTAAACTGGTCTCTGAACCAGTTTAGAAATGGTTTAGATACTGGGAGTAACCTAGCTGCAGCAGCTGAGTATATTTGGCCAAGCAGCATCTAAGTTTGTCAGTGCTGCAGGAATTAGGAGTGCTTTGGTCTCAATTCACACTTCCCTGAAATGCACAAAAACTTGGTTGCTTGTGTCAGTAGAGACAGATTTTTTTTTTTCTGCTGCTTCTTTCTTGATTTTTCTAGACAAAGCCTGCAAAGTAGTTTAAATTCATATTTGCTTTTGTCTTTGTCCTGACAGCTGTATATAGCAAATAAASAGAGTAATCAGAACAGGATAGCAAGCTTTTGTAACGCATTGTTATTTCCAGATACCCCTCACCTCATTAGATTACTCTGGAGCAAACACAGAAAAATTACCAAGAAGAGCAATGGAAGCAATTGCTTTACTTTTCTATGAATGGGAGTATATTATCCATTCTCAATATTTATTTTCAGTTAAGTGAACTTAAGGATTGCAATTAATTTTATTTCAAAAGCCTTTGGGTGTGAAATGATCTGTAGACTTYTTTTTCCTCAAAAGAAGTATTGCATTCTTGCAGTATATGAAGAAACCCTGAATGCAATTGCTTTGACTTTTTCACTGTTGTTCATTTTATTAAGACTTTCTTCTCTCTTTTCTGAATTATGCAAATATATATTTTTAAATCTTAACACTGTTCAGTGAAATCGTAGTGCTACTTTCATTGAAGTATTTAACATGGTGTGTGTTGTAATTGAAAAGAAATTATTAATCCAGCAGATTTTTTTCTAGAGTTTGGCATTCTCATAGCTAATGAGGTAGACCAGTGAATTACTTCTTGCTTAATTTTGTGCTTGATAATTTTTGAGATTGTGTGGCAGGGGGGAGCTGATAGAGAAGCAACCGTAGCTTGCTTAAGCAGGTACTGTATAAATTCTGGATGCAAATCTGGTAGTGTTGTCTCAGCACTCAGAACTCTCCATACTTTGCTTCTAAATCTCTTTAGAAATGAGATGAGCCCAACTGCCAACAAAATTAGCCTAGCAGCGTGGAAAGTAGTTCTGTCATATAGGCAAATGTAAATTTGAAATGAGAATTAAAAAAGTAAAAAAAGGTCAGTGTGACATAGGACTTAGTTCTTGAAACAGAGTGTCAAGGAAGTGAATGATAGCCATAGGCTGTTGCAGTCAGAGAAATGCAATGAGATGAGTACCTAAGAATTGTCATATGTGGCTAGAGTCCAGAACAGTATAAGAATAAGCACTTTTTTTTCAGGGTGATATACACTTTGATAGATTGTGCCTGGTCTACACAGTGAAATGGAGTTRTGGCCACAGTCTGTTGCTTGTATGATTTTTGCATTAAATGCTGCATATGTGACTAGTCCCAGGGCTGGAGTTCTTGATAGATACTTTCTTACGTGTTAGGCTTGTAGAGTGTACATCAAAGTTAAATCTGTGAATTACCACATCTTTGATTTTGTTTTGTCCGCTGAACACAAGCAGAATTATACATACTGCATTAATTTAGCAATTAGTTTATTAGRGTGTAGTGAATCATACAGGTTAAGTGGAATAAAATTTTGTCAAGAACATACAGTGCTATAGCATACTGATACAAAGATTCAAAATTTATCAAGGCATATGATTAATGATGAATTGCTGATGCAAATCTACACATTTTGCTTCCCTGGAACCTCTCAGGTTGTTTCATTTGTGAAAAGAGTGATTTAGACTCAGTARCTTAATCTGCATTTGCCTAAATAAATGTTTCTTGAAAAAAAAAAATATGAGCAGGTGTCTATCGATGAAGTTATAATAGCTAAATGCATATTTGTATTGCATTCATTTACATATTTAAACAGTTCTTACCCAGTGATGTACGTAAATCACACAGGTGAAATCTGAACACAGAGAAATCAATAGAAAGCCTTCTGTTTACTTCAGTAGATCAGAACGTCCCTGGACATATGTGCAAATATATTTGCAAATATATAAATATATATATATGCACATCTAGATCGGCACCTTGCAAACGTTTGCATTTAGTGAAAGGACAGCAAATAGTAATTAATATGACAAATGGATGGAAAAATCCCCATAGAAAGCTGATGTAATACTTATTTTAGATAGCTCAATTTTAAAATCTTGAGCATTTATACAGTATCTTATTAATGGCTGCTTGCTTTTGTTTTTAAGTGTCCCCATAATTCGTTTTTGCCAYGTAAAATATACTCGCAGTGAAATCTTGATCTTTTAATCTCCAAATTGAGAATTTTACCCTTGCTCTCTGTCCAAGGAATGTATGCATTTCTGCAGTAAAGCTTTGTATGAGAATGACTTGCCTCTACCTAAACTGAAGTGAGGTAAAATCAAACAAACCCTACGAAKAGAAAGCAGAAGGTGAAACAGTTTATGCTACATGTGGCAAGAGCAGGGACTTATTTACTGTGATTATCTATCTGACRGCAGGTTTGGTTTGTTTATTTTACCTCTTTTTAATCTTTTCTGAGTTACACTAACTCTCATTGGGCATGACTACTAAAATCAAGTCCATCCAATACTGTAATCTATCTGCAGATTTACTTCACTTATATTTTAATTTATAATTTCAAAGTGGAATGACATATTCAATCATTGTTCTGGTGTAAAATTATCTTCTAATGATTTGAGGGACATATGACTCTTCCTTTATGGTATCTAGTTTGAAACTGATCTTGGCTTCCGCACCTGATCAGTGGTGGTGAACCTTTTTCATGCTTTTTGCCCCATTTCTTTTAAAAGAAACAGAAACCCGCTGCCATCTTGGCTACGAAATGCCTGGCACCAGTGCTACTCACCACTTCTGCCTGCTTATATAATATAGATAATATGTTTTAATCTATTACAACTTCCCTTTTAAGATTCCTGGAGCTCTGGAGCATCTTTCAAACACAGAGCCCAGTACATGGCTCATGTGTCTCTGCCTGTGGTGGTTGGACAGGGATTTCCTTTCTATCCTTTTGAAGCTCCCTCTTGCTTGCTCTTTAAAAATGAACAGTGTTCTCAGGTTTTTGCCACTTTATGGAACTTTATGGAAATCCTGTAATGGAACCCAGGGATGCAGGAGAAAGGACCACAAAGTCAGTCTAGGTTTGTGCAGGTCTTGAGCTCCATAATTCTGGGTAAATAAATCCAGGGAGTGAGGGATGTGCTGTCTGGGCAATGATCAAGCACTTCTCTTGTGGGGAAACATTTCTCACTATCTGAGGAGTTGAGAAGAGAAAGGAAATCACAAAAAAGCTCACATTAAAATAATGAATTTTCTGATAATTTGTATACTTGGTGATTTGCAGCAGCACCCTGCTTTGTGGCTATCAGAGCCTAAATTTTCAATTCCAGTAGTTCTGTGTTGGGAGAGGTCATTCCAGAAAATGGCTTCTGGAGATRCTCACTTCAGCTTCTCTCCACAATGAGTCATCCTTCCTTAATCCTTACAAGTGTCTTATTTCTTTCCTAAGGAATTGTGAATTTTGTTGGGTAAATTTGGCCCATAGGTCTGGATTCCTAATGCAAATTGTTAGTTCTGAGGATTTTGTGACGAAAGTGATGAAATAGATTGTTATATAAAACTATTATTTTGGCTGTGACTCTTAAGTCTGTCTTGTCATGAAACAGCTCGTTTTGGGAGCTATATTTTTATGAACAGATTCTGACTGCAGTGCGACAAGTTCTGTGGGGCTCAAGGCAAAAACATGTTTTAAGTTTTGTTTTTGGAGTAGCAAAGTGAACATCCTGAAATTAGAGACAGGAGGGAATTATTTCAGAGTGAGTTTTTATACAGGGAAAAAGTTATGATATGGAGAAATGTCTAATCCTTTTCATCTGTGGAGCACAGTTTTGACTTGAGAAAAATACTTTTACATTTAGATTTAATTATTAATAT